CGCACCTGGGTTCGCCGGCATTTCGCGGTGGATCAAATACTTATTAATTGGCATTTTTCTCGGAATTTCAGAGCATGTGCCACGTGCCACTTTTGCCACGTGCCATTGCCACGTGCACCACGCACGTGTACATTTCTTAGAAAAATTAATTATCTATCGTCTTCGAGTGCGACCGATCCCGCAGACAGCTAGCCGGAGCGCAGGGCAAGCAAGCTCGCCCCCGCCCGGGTTCTCACCTCTCCCGAGCGGAGTGGCCCTCGGTGTTTTGGTGAGCACCACCACTCCCGGGCGGATTGGTTACCCCCGGTGCTACGATGGTGTTTTTCATGCCGAGACACTCATGGTGTTCGACGAATACGGCCACAGGTTTCCCCGTGCACGTAGGGCTTCGAGGCATGGAAACTCGCCATGCCTGCTGCTTTTGACCAGTCGTCCCCGAAAACCCCGCTAAATTCATTAAATCTTATGTTTATCTTTAAATTCTCATCCCATGCTCTGAAATGCCTCAATTGGCCAGTTCTATCCGTAACACTTTTCCTATTTCAAAAGCAAGCAAAACATCTTAATTCTTATGTTAAACAGACAGTTAAAGATATTCATATTAGCATACCCATATCCAGATATTTTCAGCTTGCAAAGAGAACAAATGTAAATTATGCAAAATCATCAAATAATCTTAATAACTGAATAAAATAAAATAGACATTATTTATAAATCTAAACTGACAGTTTCACATAAATCCATTTTCGAGAAAGGCTTAGCTTGTCTGACTCACCTATACAAAAAATAAAACTTCATTAAGATTTCGTACGCAGAAAATGTCATCTCGACATCATTCACACGCTTGTAGTCCTGTATCAGACTTAATCCTACCCACGGACATTTTATTTTTCGGATTTATATTTTTATTTGCACTTCATCCGGCTAAAAAGTAGCGAGGAGCTTATCGGGTATATAATTAAGCAAATTTTTTTATTTTCAGATCAGCGGCATGCGATCGTCGTAGCAAGCGTTGTGGGATAAGGGGAAGAGATTTCAATCGTTCGAGCGGCATAAGCGATAAACGTGAGTACCTATCAAACTAAAGAAACGATTATTCTCTTAAATGATATGTTATTATCAATCTGTATGTACGATATTATTAATTCACTTTATAAAATGAGCATTTAAGTGCTTCTTCTAACAGCAATATTTGTAAATTGTTGCGTCGTAGAATGACTCTTGCTGTGAGAGGATTAAACCTTAGTACATAAGTTTTAACGACTCAATAATTTAACGGTCTTTTCATTCTTTGAGACATATTTGTAGTTTCCAGTTAATAATTCTTTACCCGTAGCAGATATAGGGCCCAAGGAGTCATTACATTCTGGCCAGTTTTTCTTGATTTATTGTTAGTCATATCTGGTTTTCAGAATCTTTAGCCACAGTGTCTTATGTTTGCACTTTACCATTCATGTTGGGGTACTTCTTGGTTTGATTACTTGCTACGTCATTTTGTAGAAACCAGACCCACTTCATACGTCATGTCTATTTCCATCTCCACTCGAATTTAGCTAATCCAATGAAACTGTTCTCTCTCGCCAATGTCCCAAAAAATTGTACGCCCACTTCGAGCTTTGGTGAAATGTAAAACATCGTTGAAGAGACACTCTTGAACAGTCATCAAATACATAGTAAAATAAACGCTAGACATCCAAATTCATTTCTTATATACAGTCTACTTATATTTACTTATTGGTAATTTACCGATTCCATGCGTCGTTTAATCGTTGCTTACTGACACTGAAACGCACATTCAAAAATAAATAAAAAATGTGAACCAGTATGGCGTTTTTTTCACGTTTTTAATATTTAGTGATGATTTTAAAATATATCATAGTATTAGTAATATTATGTATAAATTTAAGTTTATACTCTTTAAGTTGAAATTCGTAAGTACTAATTTTGTTTTTATAACAATTTAAGACTTCTGAGATTCTCACGGTTTATTTTGATACGAAATTTATTATGACAGGTAAAATTTAAGGCTTCTAAATGTAATTCATGTTCAAATAAAATTCCTGCTTAACGAATTCTTTTGTTCTTAATGATCAATTGACTAATTTAGAAGCACAAAAAAGTATGGATCCGGTTTACATCCAGAAACCTCAAACTGGCATATGAAATTAATCTATTGAGAAGAAAACTTTCCGCTAATTTCTAATGGACAGTGTTTTTCCCGAATTTAATGTGATAAACTATATTTATTAAATTATATTTTAAATGAAAATATATTTATTTCAAGAGTCGTTGGTAAAAATTATTGTCACGAATCTCCTTACGTTCGCACAAACTTTGTAAAAGAAAATATATCGATCCTCGTTGCATTTCTACCAGTATGTCACGCATTCTGTAAGAAAATGGCGAAGTTTCAAACCTCGATTTTCAGCGAAACTACGAGGTAGAATGCGTAAGGCAAAAGGAATACATGTATTTTCATTTTCGTCTAAGGCAGCTGGAATCTTATAAATTATTACAACTGATTTTATTAGCAGTTACAAAACTATATCGATATCCCTTAGATTCGAAGTGCATAAACGAAAAGGATGCAATTTTGAGTCCAGATATTTTTTTCTTTTTCTCTTTTGTAGAAGTCACGAAACTCGAGCCTGATTGCGAATATATTTAAAAATCGAAATAAAAAGACCATCGTAGAGTGGCAATTTGTCTTTTACGCGAAACAATGAGCATCCTCCATTCAACTATTGTCTGCAATATACACATTAATCGCCAAAATTTCGATCATTTTTCGAACAAATAAGAAAAACACACGCGTCGAGCTGTAAGTAAACAGTGATCCGTTCTATTTCATTCTTGGATCTCCATGTTTGGCATCGTTCGTTCCATCTTTGGCCGAAAAGAATTTTACTCTCCTTGGAAATCTTAATCGCTCCCACGGCTTTCCGAGAAAATCTGAAAAAATGAAAAGTATGTTATTAGATATATCAATAAATAATTCACTTTTCTTAGTATTCACAATATTCATTTTTCATATTTTATTTTAGAATATGGAAATGTAGTATCCGTACTATGACTTTCAAATTAATGATACTGAAAGCGTCCAGCAGTGGTCAACCCACGTCGTTTTACTCATGCAACTATAATTTAATTCTGAATAACCTAAATCCCCGAACACAATACAACAGAAGAAATGCTCGACCTAACCGTTATATTCTTTTGTAAAATAATGAAATATATAATATCTTGCTCAACAATAATCCAACTCTTTCCTTTAATTATACCTTCAATTTGCCTAAGAAACTACACTTTAATTTATACTGAAGCACATCGTTCTAATTATGATTATTTCGGTTGCACAAATCTAGTTGTAAATTACGTTAACTCTGTTAACATAATTATTAAAATGCTTTATTAAACGCACTATTAAAACACTTGGTAACCAACATTCTTTAACTCTTAATTATGTTATAATTTAATCCCATTACCGTTTTATTATTTAAATTTTTATTTCCGTCTTATTTGTTCCATTTAATACTTCCCATCTTCTTCCAAAACATTCATTGTGTATAAAAAGAAATACATCTTATCTTAAAATATACTATAAATAAATTATTAGTATTAATATAACAAACAATGTAGTATTAACGTTAAACGTAAATTACTTTTTAAAGTAAAAAATCATGCCAAATTAGAAACAAATACGTTTCACACTTAATCTCCCGTTATTCGAGTTGTAAGAAATACGCCAGTTGTGAATTATCTATGTTCTTTGAATTTGAGGTTAATCTACAAATTCTAATCTTCTAGCAATGTCATCTGCACCTTATGAAAAATCCCCTCTTCTTTTATTGCAGTTTTTCAATCTATAAAGATACCGAAGAACTCAAGTGTATTATTCAGCAAAAAAGTAGAACGTGCGTATAAACGTGTAATTTTCTATAATCTATGTATCGTGAGATTTCCAGTTTATGTAATATCGCAAAATATTTCCCGTGAAAACGGATAGCACATTTGATGACACGCATCAGTGAAGCTATTTTTGAGAAAGCTGCTTTCTGTTCATTTTATTAATTTACAATCGTACAATGTATCCATATAAAATTGTATTTGTAACTTCAAACAATTTTAGTATCATACAAGACAAACAACATGAAAAAATTTTGAAATAATGAAATAAAATGACGCTGTGAAAAGCGAAACGCATGGAAAGAATCTCAAACTTTGTCAATTTAAAAATGCTCAAAATTATAAATTTTTTTGTTTAAAAATTTCTAAATTTCGTAAATCAGAATTTCAGAAATTTAAGAATTTAAAAATTTAAAAATTTGCTCATTTTCAAACTGTATTCTTAAATTTAGACACTCAATCATTTTTAGATTTACTAATTGTTCCTAACTTTACAAACGTTAAACATTAAAAATTTGAAATTTTCCAAATGTGAAATTTTAATTTACAATATTTTAAATGTTGTCAATTTCAAAGAATTTATCAAATGTTTCAAAGTTTAAAGTATTTCAAACTTGTTCACAGCATGAAAGAATAACAAATGCAACAACATTTCCATTAATTTAAGAATCAATGAACGTTCTCTAGCCGTAAAAATTTGTTATCATTCGTTCTTTATAATATTATTGATATAGGTGCTAATGTATAATGCGTTAAATTTAGTCGATGATTACAACACGCATATGTAATAATACGTGCCAAAAGCAACGAAAATAAACATATTTTAATGAGATCAACAATTACCTTTACTGATTTATAGTATTTGCAGACTGTAAAATTAACAAACAACTTGTCGATATTGTCATTTTCTACGTTGTAAACAAACTTCTTCACAAATACTTGAAAAATGTACAAATTTAATTTTCTCGAAAATTAAGTCGCGTAAGGTAAAATTTTATTTTATATCTTTGACTTATTTTTTCATGTAGATTCACCCTCTCCTCAATTGTACCACTATTTAAGAGACACCCTGTACTATGCCTAGGTTATATTAGACGATTTAGTTAAGTATTAATTTCTTGTCAACTGCCTCAAACACGTGGTCACTATTGCTACCCATCAGATTGCTAAGGTTGTACTAGGTTGGCGCACTGTCAACTCAAAAGACGTGTTTTCGCGTGTTGTTGACACATACTGAGAAATAATGGTCCAAAAGAGAATGTAATCCTTTGTTGCATTTTGTTGCAAACATGCTATATGAAATAATATACTATGAAACTTTTGTATTTTATTAAGGAGGTATCGTGACTTTCAAATTCAGAAGCTAAAATATTGATAAATATGAAAAACAATGTAATTCGAGAAAAAAAATTTATTGTATTTTACATAATTTTTAATGTAACATTCATATAAAGTCAGTAAAATATACCAATAATATAACATACACGAAGAACAAATATGTTATCTATTAATTATTGGAAATAGACTATGGATGAGGAATGCACTCGCTCTTTTTCACTTTTGTTAGTGTAAACCATATTATATTCTTCTATAATATTTTCGTATTTTTAAGAAAATTTAAACTAACGTTATCAAATTTTAATAAATATTATACCTTCAGTATATATCTTTCCTATATTTTACATATTAAGTACTACGATTTTAAATAAAGTTATCTGTTTTGGCTTGAGTAAACATTTTGAAACTTCATTAGTGTTTAAATATTATTATTATTTATATTTAGCCGAATTTTAAGAAATTCATAACATAGTATGTCTGTGATGCAACCAAACATATGATAAACTATGTCTATGCTTTATTTGTGCCAAACATAAATGGAGAGCAAAATTCATAATTACCGAAATTGTTCAAAATGTTTTTCATTTTTACTAATCTTTCTTTGAATTTTTCCAAAACGTTGCAAACTGAAAATATTTTATCATACATATTTCCTTAAATCAATTTTATAAATAAAAAGTGATGTTTTCCCAAGTTTCATTATAAACTTCCTACATGTTCTATATTTTTGCAAGTTATATCATTTTACTCTTTTTTACATTTCTATTCATAATTAATCGTAATTAATTTTGTTATATTTCATCGTTACTATCGTTTGAAAA